TCTAGTCTCGGCTCAAAAAGCTTTTGACCCTAGGGTCATTATTGTCTTTTTGAAAAATTTCTCTCTCCGATTAAGTTGGAAGTGTCCTCCAGCAAATTTCCATTTTTAGAGTGTCTTTCAGCCGCAACACGTTTTCACGATGTCTATCAACAAATTATACAAATTTTGGCTGTCATGTAGCAAATTTTGTCTAACTTTTTCATACAGAATCAAATGAAGACAAACTTTATATCAACATTGTAGAGCTTGATGAGATCTACAACTTTCTTATTGACTATTTTATTATTTGGGTTCATTTAAGGGTCTAAATATTCATTATAATATACCATATTATTTTTTACAAAATCTCAGATCTACAATTCAAACGACATCTGATGGAGATGTGTTCCATATCAAAGTTGTAGAGCTCAACGGGATCTACCACTTTGTAGTTTATAGCATTTGTATTTGAAAGCATTTAAAGTATAAAACAAACATTACAAGTTTCGAAGATGTGAAATAAAATAAATAACATCTCCAGTTTATACAATGGTAAGTAATTAAGTTATACATCTAGTAAAAGGTATTGGGAATAGAAAATGATAATTATTTTTTGCATATGGATCTCTTAGAGGAACAACCATGAAAATCGATTTTCACATATGGTTGTGGGACCATCTACAAAATTGACGATATAAATGTTGGAGATGTTAAACTAAAATAATAAGCGATATCTCTTCCTTGATCAAGAAACTCAATTTGAGGGGTTTTTTATATACCGGCAAATATTCACTACCGTATTCATTCCATCTCGTATTCGCTCCGTATCTGTATTCGATAATATTCAATTTTATTTCCGTATCCGAGTTTTCGATTCCGATTCCGATTCCGAAAAAAAATATGAAAACGAATATGATAAAGCTAGTTTCTGTTCGTTTCCGATCAGTTTTCATTCCTTGGGAGTGTCCATTCTTCACCGTCGCGGAGATAAAAGGAAAAAAAAAAGAGGGAAAGTGGAAACGCCTTCGGGGAATACGCTTCCCTTTCCATTCTGCGTTCTCTCCACCGAAAACCCCCATGCACCGCAAGCTCCCGCCATTACCTCCCCTCACACTCCGCCGCTCCTCCTCCTCCTCCTCCTCCGCCGCCGCCGCGGCCTCTCCTCCACCGCCGCCACCTCGCCGTCTCCCTCCTCCGGTTCCGCTCCGTGACCTCCTCGCCCACCGCCTCCCGCCCACGCCCACGCCGGACCGGCCTCCCCTCTCGCGGCCGCATCCTCACGCCGACGTCCTCCTCCGCGGCCGACGCCCGGGCTGCGACGCCTCGCCGGAGAGCCTCCACCTCGAGGTCGTCAAGAGGGGCCTCACCCATGACCTCTTCCTCGCCAACCACCTCGTCAACTCGTACGCCAAGGGCGCGCGCCTGGACGCCGCGCGCAGGGTGTTCGACGGAATGCCGGGCCGGAACGCCGTTTCTTGGACCTGCCTCATCTCCGGGCACGTGCTGTCCGGGCTCCCCGAGGATGCCTTCCCGCTGTTCCGCGCCATGCTGCGGGAGGGGCCGGGGTGCAGGCCTACGTCGTTCACCTTTGGCAGCGTGCTCCGGGCGTGCCAGGATTCCGGGCCGGACCGGCTGGGCTTCGCCGTGCAGGTCCATGGGTTGGTCTCTAAGACAGAGTTCACTTCAAACACCACGGTGTGCAATGCCCTGATCTCTATGTATGGCAGTTGCTCCGTTGGTCCGCCGATCCTGGCACAGCGTGTGTTTGATACCACTCCAGTCAGGGACTTGATCACATGGAACGCCTTGATGTCTGTGTATGCAAAGAGAGGGGATGCAATTTGTACGTTTACTCTGTTCAGGGCTATGCAGTATGATGATTCGGGGATCGAGTTGAGGCCGACAGAGCATACTTTTGGGAGCTTAATCACCGCGACATATCTTTCCTCATGCAGCTTGGGCCTGCTTGATCAATTGTTTGTGAGGGTGCTCAAATCTGGCTGCTCAAGTGACCTGTATGTGGGCAGTGCTTTAGTAAGTGCATTTGCGAGACATGGCATGCTTGATGAAGCAAAGGACATTTATCTCGGTCTGAAAGAGAGAAATGCAGTTACTTTGAATGGTCTGATAGCTGGTTTGGTCAAGCAGCAACATGGTGAAGCGGCAGCAGAGATTTTCATGGGAGCAAGGGATTCCGCTGCTGTCAACGTGGATACATATGTTGTGTTGCTTAGTGCAATAGCTGAGTTTTCTACAGCAGAACAAGGGTTGAGGAAAGGTAGGGAAGTCCATGCACATGTGCTCAGAGCTGGACATATTTATAGGAAAATTGCAGTTAGTAATGGTCTAGTTAATATGTATGCCAAGTGTGGTGCCATTGATAAAGCATGTAGAGTTTTTCAGCTGATGGAAGCAAGGGATCGGATTTCATGGAATACCATTATCACTGCTCTTGATCAAAATGGATACTGTGAAGCAGCAATGATGAATTACTGTTTAATGAGACAAAATAGTATAGGTCCATCAAACTTTGCAGCAATTAGTGGCTTAAGTTCCTGTGCTGGTTTGGGACTTTTAGCTGCAGGCCAACAATTGCACTGTGATGCTGTAAAATGGGGACTATATTTAGATACCTCTGTTTCAAATGCTCTTGTTAAAATGTATGGAGAATGTGGGCGGATGTCAGAATGCTGGGAAATTTTCAACTCTATGTCTGCACATGATGTAGTTTCTTGGAATTCTATCATGGGTGTTATGGCGAGTTCACAAGCACCTATTACTGAATCTGTACAAGTTTTCTCCAATATGATGAAGAGTGGTTTGGTCCCAAACAAAGTGACGTTTGTTAACTTTCTAGCTGCTTTGACTCCATTATCTGTTCTTGAACTTGGAAAGCAGATTCATTCTGTCATGCTGAAGCATGGAGTTACAGAAGATAATGCAGTAGATAATGCACTCATGTCATGCTATGCAAAGTCAGGAGATGTGGATTCCTGTGAGCGGCTGTTTTCTAGAATGTCTGGCAGACGGGATGCTATCTCATGGAATTCAATGATTTCAGGGTACATCTACAATGGACATCTGCAGGAAGCTATGGACTGTGTTTGTCTTATGATGCATAGTGAACAAATGATGGATCACTGCACCTTCTCCATTGTACTGAATGCATGTGCTTCTGTGGCAGCATTGGAGCGTGGAATGGAGATGCATGCTTTTGGTTTAAGGTCACACTTGGAATCAGATGTTGTGGTCGAGAGTGCTCTTGTTGATATGTACTCCAAGTGTGGAAGGATAGACTATGCTTCAAAGGTATTTCATTCCATGAGTCAGAAAAATGAGTTCTCATGGAACTCCATGATTTCTGGTTATGCGAGACATGGTCTCGGAAGGAAAGCTTTGGAGATATTTGAGGAAATGCAAGAGAGCGGAGAAAGTCCAGACCATGTCACGTTTGTGAGTGTTTTGTCTGCCTGTAGTCACGCTGGTTTAGTTGAAAGAGGCCTTGACTACTTTGAATTGATGGAGGATTATGGTATATTACCTCGGATTGAGCATTATTCTTGTGTTATAGACCTTCTTGGTCGAGCTGGGGAGCTTGATAAGATACAGGAGTACATGAAAAGAATGCCAATGAAACCAAATACTCTCATATGGAGGACGGTATTAGTTGCTTGTCAACAATCAAAACACAGGGCTAAGATAGATCTGGGGACAGAAGCTTCAAGGATGCTTTTGGAATTAGAACCTCAAAATCCTGTAAATTATGTTCTTTCATCTAAGTTTCATGCAGCAATAGGAAGGTGGGAAGACACAGCCAAAGCCCGGGCTGCAATGAAGGGAGCAGCAGTGAAAAAAGAGGCCGGTCGCAGTTGGGTAACCTTAACTGATGGAGTTCATACCTTCATTGCTGGTGACAGGTCACATCCAAACACCAAAGAAATCTATGAGAAGCTCAACTTTTTGATTCAGAAGATAAGGAATGCAGGTTATGTTCCACTGACAGAATATGTTTTACATGATCTTGAAGAAGAGAACAAAGAAGAACTGCTAAGATATCACAGTGAAAAGCTTGCGGTTGCTTTTGTTCTGACTCGTTCCTCCTCAGGTGGCCCCATAAGGATCATGAAGAACCTTCGGGTTTGCGGAGATTGCCATACAGCTTTCAGATACATTTCTCAGATTGTTGGTCGGCAAATCATTTTAAGGGATTCAATCCGATTTCATCATTTCAAGGATGGGAAATGTTCTTGTGGGGACTACTGGTAACTTGTTTATACTGCTGGTACCAGGAACAGGCTTTTCCTAACTACACAAATTTGAGGTTTGGGTACTTGATTACTAGGTACATGGTTTTCCTGGACTTTTCATATTTGAGGTGAATATCACTTCTCACCAGGTACCTATCATCCCTTAACCGTTGGGTACTAATAGTTCATTTCCCTTTCTCCGAGTAAGTTGCTAATGGTTCTCTACCTGATGAATACTTTAACCTAATAAATAGTGTTCACTTGACTTCGATTTATACCGAGTGTCAAATATGAATACTGACATTGTTGGTGTGGTTTGCTGTGATATGCGACTCAGAGCTTTAGAGGTCTAGTAATTATGGCTAGAATCTATGCTAGTCTAGAGTCATTATCTTCCCGTAGCAACCCAGAGAAGACTATTTGTGAGACATCAATGACCTGTGTGAATAGCTAGTTTTAGTTAGGCTGCTCGTCACCAGGCCACCAATTTTGTAGGCATGATTATGTGTTTAGTACATTATGGTTTGGATGTGTCAATTGTACCATTTTAATAATTCAATTTCTTACTTTAGAAATGATCATCTAACTTAATAAAAACCAGGCTCATTTCAGATTCAGCTGTCGTCACATGAGTATTTGGCAAAAGTTATAGTTCAATTTGAACCTTTTACGCATTAGTCTAGGCAAGCTCTTTAGAATTTATGTAGACCTTAATCAAATAACCAGTTTATACTTATCCATGAGAAAAACTCAAGTAGATAAGCAAAGAAGAAAAACTGAAAAGTGGATTTGACATTCATCAAAAACTGACAGGCCATCACAAATGCAGTCAAGTATATAGCAATGTGCAAGATTGATCTTTCTATATGTCGGATAAAAGAAGATACATTGTACTTCATGCTTATACAGAACAATAACGTCAAACATCCGCGATCAGTCCAAATCCACAATCCCAAAATTGGAGAGAAGGATCTTCACTTGTTGAACAAAATCCGAGCCGGTTGCGTACTCTGTTAGCATCCCTACTGCAAACCCAAACATAGCCCATCTGCGAGATTTTGATGATCAGAATCACCATTAGTAAACAAGCAAATCTTACCCTATTCAACAAAACACCGAACCTAAGTCTAGGTCACCCTGCTTTTATTTATTTGTTGCAACATTTTGGTCAAGCTGGCACACTCGACATGTTTTACCAGTTGTAGTTATGAGTGATTACACAAGAGGAAATTGATATGACGGTTTGCAGTAGCCATACTAGGGCTAGTTCTTACCCACTTTGAAACATGTTAGAAACAAATCAAACTCAAGACTTATGGGCTATGGCTATTTGAGCGCATGCTGTTTGTGACAACCTAACATCACGATCATTCTGTATTTCCGTCTCACCAATTTGCAGCTAAGTAGGTCAACAGGTATTCCTGTTTCATGAACTGATTACTCGATTTCATCGCCTAATTTCTAACAATCATGCAGATAATCAAGAGAATTTTTTTCATTGACAAATTTGTTCCTGAATCTTTTCAGGGGGGGAGCAGGGCAAACGTACCTTCCATTGGAAATCTCATTCTTGCCCAAGAACCCAAAGAAGGGACCCTGGTCAGCCTCGTCCAGCTTCTTCTGCTTGAAGTAATCCTGCAGATCCTTGGCCACCTTCCTCTGGTACTCCAACGTCACGGCCCCCGCCGCCGCGGGCGCCGCCACAGCCACCGGCGCCGCGGCCTGCTTCGGCTCAGGATCCTGCGACGGCGGCGGCGACGACGAAGGCGCAGCCGGCTTCACCGGGGTGGGCGGCTGGGACAGCGTCGGAGGTGTGGACAGAGTCGGCGTCTTGGGCGGCGGCGACAGCGGCGGCGCGGCGGGTCTCCTGGGCGCCCCCTCCGCCTTGGAGCTCCTGATCACGGCGAACGACGACCGGCATGCCCGGTGGCGAGGAGGCGAGACCGCGACGGCCGCGACGCCTCCCACCTTCACCTTGATGGAAGGGATGGAGGGAGCCAGAGACATTGCTTCTTGTCTGCAAGGGAGAGAGGAGGGGCTTCCCCTTGCTTTGTTCTTGGAAGGAAGGAAATGGAGGGAAGGAAATGCGTGGAGAAGGTTTGGACACACGCACGCGGCCCCGGTGTGGATAAGAGTGTGTGGTGGTGCCCAACTGCCAAGCGAGAAGCGAGTCTCCAAACAGAGGTGGTGCAAGGCAGCCAACGCCTCAGCTGAGCTGCAAAGTTTGGGGTTGTGTATGATGGCGAGTTTGTTTGGGTTGTGACTTGTGAGGCTTTCAGGGACTCGACATGGGCGCAGCACGTTCAGACATTCTGCTCCATCCGATTGTCCCTGTCAGCCCGTGCGAACTTGTCATCTGATCTGCATACTATACTGGAAGTGATGTGTGTGGGGGTTGGGGTGTTGATTTTGCATGGGCTAATGCTTCCTTCGTCCTAAACTATAAGCCGTAATCAATTATTGAACCATTTTAAAAAAAGGTTATTTTATAAAATTTACCATAGTATTTTTTTATACTCCTGCTCCCATTTGCTTGTCACCATTAACTTTGACTAACAATAACTTATAAATTATCGGTATATATTTTGTTAAAAGAGAATCGTACGATTATATTTTACATGCAGCATACTTCGGTGATATGCCATATTTCAAATATATACAAATTTGTTGCCAAAAAAGTGGGGTTGGTCAAAATATAAACATGAAGGAAAAGTGTCTGATAATGGAGGAAGTATATGCGCCACCTGGTATGCGAGTGGAATTCAGTTTGGGCTCTAGCCTTTTTGCAAGTGAAAAAAATTGCAGTCAGTATGTATCCTGAGAGACTGTCAATTTTGTCCTTTCTTTTGGCCAATTTTTTTTATGTTTACCTTCACTTGGTGTTGTGCACTTGTGTCTGTGTAGAGCGTGCATGTTCTTTTCACCAAGTACTTCGTATAAGTGGTTCTTGACTAATGTACTTATTAGTAAAAATGACTCGTTTAAGTTTAGCTAGTTGAGGAACACCTCAATCTATTGTTGGAGCACATAATTTATCCAAATTGCTAGAGACCAACGCTCTTTTTCTAGGGCCTTTTCCCCCCGCTTTCTGAAGAATGAATATTCGCATGGCACATAATGGGTAACGCTGTAATTATTTTCGAAGTGGAGCCATGGAGCCACGTTTTCGCTGCTCCACCTCGACAGTACAAATTTTTGGAGCGATTCATCCCGCTCCGCTCCAATTTTTGGTTAAGCTCCAGCTTTAGGTAGATTGGATCTAGGAGCTGAAGTTATACCAAACAGGCCCAACATAACCAAAAGTACATGATCCTTCTTTACAATGGCATCACTCAGCCATCAAGGCATTAACATAACAACTTGAACAAAAAATGTCAACAAATCCATCAATTAACATGTGAGAGAAGCAAAACAATATAGTAGAGATCCAACATCCCTTACAACACTAACTGGACAGACTTGTACGGAAATAGTACATTGGAACTTGAGAGCACCAAAGTGAAGGGAAAGAAAGGCGAAAACAAGAAATTGAGCAGTTAAGATCTTGATATGGTACAGTGGGGAATCAAAACTGTAACCCTAACGTGTGCAGATTAGCTAAACACAACCACCATGTCACCAGCAAATAATTCAGCAAAAGGCATAAGATCAACCATGACTCCTTGTCTTGAATCCACAGGTATCTTACCCTGATCGATGAGAAATCACCAGCGCAAGCATATCTAGCCAGCAAAACTTCAGCTACACGAGAAGCATCGATTCCATTGCCGCAATGTACAGGCATTAAACCTACTGAATCACACACTCACATTTCCTGAAACCCTCATTTTCCGTATCATCGTCTGACAAACCTTCATCACTGTTGAAATAATCACCAAAAGATCAGACAGTGTTACAGCTATAACAAACCATAAGTACAAAAACATCGTAATAAAGTAATATACGTTGAAGGTTAACTAACAAGCCTAAAGATGTTGCAGCGATGAAGAGAGATTGTAAAAGTAGCCCAAAGTTTCAATAAGCACATAAACAATCAGCATTAATTAACATGAGGGGACTAGTCTGATGTATGAATAAGTGAGTGCAAATCATGTTCCTCCGCAGAACAAAAAAAAAGGTGAGTGCAAATCATGAACTCAATAAATTTTCTGCAAATACACCTGACATAAGGGGAGGGGGATAGGATTTTCATACTGTACCTAGCTTCAAATTCCCTTATCTCAAAAAGCTCTTTTCCACACGTATCAGTCCATTGAACTTTTCTTCGTTCCATGCCAGATTTCAAGGTTTGGACCTCTTCCAGTGACTCTCGTGGCTCTTCACCTTCACTTACCACTATACAGTGCTCTAAGGAATCCCTTCTTGAGTTGCTCTTAAGGCAACCTTTTTTCTCATTTCCAGTTAACGAACCATTAGTTCCTTCGTTTGCTGAAGCAGACGACTCTTCTGACGAACTCCCTGATGTATTGCCTGAACTCAGTTTTGGAGGAGACGCCCCCTCAAGCCCAGCAGCTGCACGGCCAAAGCAGATAAACGGGGCACATTTACCAGGAGCTTGGTCTTTCCTGGAAGCCAGATGATACACCTGCTCAGCTTCCCGGTCGACTAGTCGGTACTGATTCCACGGGGATACCTTGACAGGCTTCTCTTCATCTTTCCTCCCAAGAAGCAGAAGGGCAAGGCCATGGCTGTACCCTGAAGCCGACGACGAGAAAAAGCCCCCTCCTTCCACAGCCAGCAGCATTTTCACTGCTCATCAAGGAACCATAAGCTACAATATCGTGGTCTGCTTGAGGCACCTCCTCTTCATCATCTAGCACACTACACAGCAAATGAAAGCAAAAGCAAAAATCAGATTCATCCCCTCACAAAACTCACAAATTTGCAATCAATATAAATATATATATAGGCTCCACTATCCTACAGAATCACAGTAATTGAGACTAAGAGATAGATTAGCTCCACAGCTCTCTTTTGTCAAATGGCTAATGGCATCTACCATCTGATCTCGGTAGCGAGCAATTAAAGAAACGGCCTACATTTGTTCATAGACATCTTTAACTCAACTAGGTCTTCGCTCTCCAACCAAGGCCCCTATCAATTATTGACTGCTAGCACAGTCAACAAAAGGTTTCCAATCATATCTACAGTTTCCATCTTTAGTCGAGCCAATAATTGCTGGCCTGAAAAGAACTAGTTACTGCCTAAACAGCATCACACGCCCACAAAGTTCCCCCCCCCCCCAAATCGAATCGAAATCCGGAGACAAACTGCTATCAACGAAACCGGATGCGTTAATCGGGGCAAAAGAAAAAAAAAACATCACAGGTCCGGACGGATCTCCAATCTACGGCGGGTGACGAAGTGGCGGCGGCGGCGAAGAAGAAGAAGAGGAGGGATGGGAGGGAGAAGAGAGAGCGAGAAGAAGAGAATGCGTATACCTTCAGCTTGATCCGAGTCGAGGATTGGGTGTGGGGGGAGAGGCAGGCTAAAGTCGCCCCCCTCCTAGAGACCAGCTTCGCGCGCGCGCGCGACGGGGAAGGAAGGAGGGGAGGGGAGGTGGAATGCGCTGTGGGGTGGCTCCGGGGGGGGGCCTGCTTCGCCGGAGTCCGGCGGTGGGATGGCGGCGGCTGCGGCGGCGGCGCAGATCGGGAGAGAGAAGGTTGGCGAGAGAGAGTGGGGAGGTGTGGGAAAGAAGGAAGGAAGGAAGGAGAGAAAGGGGGGGGCGCGGGGGCATTTTGGTCGTTCGCCATTTTCTTCACAGACTTTTTAAAAATTCCTGACGCCCACTGTACTGCACTCTCTCCTTTTCCGTCCAAAGCGGGTGGGTGATCATAGCCTCATAGGTAAGGGTAAAACGGACATTTCTTAAGTTCTAACTCAGAGGGGTTTCTCCTAAGTAAAATTGAATTGATGTGGTTTTGATTTAAGAGAAAATCCATAAAATGTCATCGACTAATCCTAGAAATGCCATCAATAAGCGCAACTTCCCGAAAATACCATTGTACAAGCCTTTTTCTCCCAGAAATGCCATCGCCGTCAGCCTACCGTTCATTCAACACCGTTACAACCATAAATTTGACCAAATTACCCTCAGTTCAAAATATATCCTCCCAATCCACGGTAAAAGAAAAAAAATGGCGCAACGGTCGCGCGCGAGAGCGCGAGGGTCACAGGCGCCGGCGCGAGGGCTGCATGAGCCGACAGCGAAGGGAGAAGCACCACGCCCGCACGCCGGGACGACCACCTGCACGCCCGCAGCGCCGGCCATCCACCTCGTAGCCGATCCAGTCGGGCACCGCACCTCCATGGCCGTAGCCTTCGTCGACGGCAAGCACCACCATTCTTGGAACAAGGAAGAAGAAGAACAAAACGATAAAAAAAAAGAAAAAGAAAGAAAAATCAAAAGCAGCACGCGTCGCGCCATCGGGATACCGCGCTCGCGCCGCCAGGCTGCCGCAAACTCGCTCGGCTATCGTGCCATGCGCCTATGCCACGCGGTGCCCGCGCCGGAGCACGGTCTCCATCGCCTGCGCTTGCGCCTGACCGCCGCGTGACGACATGTTGTCACCGCATGGTCGCGCCCCACCACGCCTCATCACGACTGTGCCTCCATCGTCGCCGACCGCGTGCCGCTATCAACCGGCCGGGCCAACGATGGCATCTTCCCGGCGTCGATGGAGGGGCGGAACAGCGCCCGCACCGCACGAGAGAAGGCGGCGAGCGGCGACGCGCCTGGCGGCTGGAGGACTGGCGGTGCACGGCGGCGCCCCGCTGGCTCCCGGCGGACTAGCGGACGGCGGTGGTGGCTGGCACGGGCGTGCGGCCGTGCAGGTGGAGAACTGGAGACTGGATATGGAGGATTTGGGATTTTGGGTGGAGGATTTGGAATTTGACCGGTTGACTTAGGGTTAGATTTTATATATGCTTGTTAAATGGGCTTTAGTATTATGGGCCAAAACGTCTAAAAAGTCTAAAATTAGTCCTATATGCAGTAAAGTCGAGTCACCGTGGGGGTGAGGACGGGGAATAGTTCACCGTCCCAGCCCCCGTCATCCTTGATGGTGAGAGGTTTGTAACCATTTCATTCTCCATGGTGAATACATATTAACCATTCCCGTCACACCTAATAGGTGAATTCACCGCGGGAAAAGGTAAACAGGGCCCTATTACCATCTCTATATGTGACTCATAATAGTGTAAAAGCTCATCAGGTCTTGGGTCATGGGGTACCATCTCTACTGCTGCCCCCCTCCACACCATCATCACGCGTCAGTGTGTCACGTGACTCACCACCTCCTCCACACCAAACCCAATCCCAAAAAGCCAAAAAAAAAAAAACCCCAAAACTCCTCCCGAATTTGACCAAAAAACAGCCAAAAACGCCACACGATTCATTTGAAAAGGGCACGCACCCCTCGTATACACCCACCCGTGGAAAATTAGAGAGAGAAGAGAGAAGACGAGGGGGAAAAAAATCACAAGAGAGGAGGAGAAAAAAAAATCGCAGCAGCAAACCCTCCTCCTCCGCCATCCGCCGCCTTCCCTCCTCCCCCACGATCTCCGGCGGCGGCGGCGGCGATGGCCCGGAAGAGGAAGACGGACGCGGCGCCGCGGCTGGACGAGGCCGACCGGACGCTCTACTCCACCTTCTGCGGCGCCGCCAACTCCCTCTCCCAGCTCTACACCCAGGCCATGGCCCAGCAGAAGCTCTCCTTCCAGGCCGGCGAGCGCCACTCCCTCGTCCGTACACCTCCCTCCCTCCCTCCCTTTCCCCCCATCTCCCCCTCCACCTCTCGCGGTTCGGTCGTCGGGAATTCGATTGGTTCCTTGGCTTCCGCCTCCGCGTCATGTTATTATTATTATTATTATTATTATTATTATTATTATTATTATTATTATTATTATTATTATTATTATTATTATTATTATTATTATTATTGTTGTTGTTGTTGTTTCTGCTGTATGGATGAATGGTGGAGCGTGGAGCTTTGACGATGGTGGTGGGAGAGATTTGATTAATTCATTCGTTCACTCATACATCGTCATTCGGAATCTTATGGTGGATAAGTTCGTCTGATGTGCTATATCACTAGTAAAGGATGCAATGTAGGAATCGTTTGGAGATGTCTAGGGTGTATCTTTTTTTTGTCCTGATGGAAATTGGGTGGCTTTGCTTCGACGATATAATCCTAATCAAGAGTAGTATAGTATAAACTTTTTGTTTGGTTCATCCTTTATAGGTAGATGGTGAGGATATCTACAAGATAGATAAACAAAAACTTCACATTGAACTTGGTAACAACCTTTTGGGACTCGTATTTGTTGGTCATAGAACATGATAAGATTTCTCTTCTATCTACGACGCCATAACCAGTTAAAGCATTGTCAAGTGCTTGTCTAGTCGAACTTAAAGTTGCTGTCATGGGATAAATTGCATGAAAATGTACTTTTGTTGATTTCATTTTTAATTGTGCAGGAAAAACTCCACCAGTGGATATTGAGAAAGCATGAGGAAGAGTCGAGGCTCACGGCGGCTGATATAATGTCTCATATCCAGGTTCAACCTTGAATTTCCTTACCTTATGGTTCTGCCTTGTTTTCTATTAATAACTTGAGTATGAACTAGCTTAGAAATGCAGATTGTATCATCCATCTCAAACTTTAACAGATAGTTTTCTTTCCCGTGAAAAAAAAATTACTTCTTTTATCTTTTGGAAGCGAGTTTCAGGCAACTGTTTGTGCATTGTCATCCAAAACTAAAACAAGTTTTTCTAACTTACAACCCATGCTTCACAGAATAAAATTTTATGAAATATGCCTCTCATTACCATGAGATGGGAGATATCAGAGTTTGATGGGAATCAAGTTGTGTTCCATCAAACTTTGTGAAGCATGAACTTGATAGCCAGAATGTTTTGATAGCTTTCCTGTCTAATATGTCTTGCATCTGTTTCGAACTTTGTTTTAGTCACTGATATACACATTTTTCATCTTTGACAGCATGAGTTGGATTATGGAGGTAATGATCCACATGTTTCCCCCAGAGTACATCAGCATAGTGCAAATCCGTTTGCAAACTCAAGCATCCAACCCTCAGCTGGTTCCTATGGTCAAGCAACAGTAGGATTTGCGCCTAGACCCAGCATCAGTGATCAGTCAAAGAATACAATTTTCTCAAATGCTTTATCAAGCCCGGTCCGTCGGAGCCTTCAGAGCTATCATTTAACCCAAGGATCTGGTAATGGAGGCCGGAATGCAGAAACAAACTCTGCAGGACAGAATAGGGAGACCAACTCTGGAGGCTCCAATGACACCTCAATGGACATGGTTTCGGACAGCGCTGGTAACGAATACTACTGAAGTGGATTGTGGTGAGAAGGAATACTACTGAAGTGGATTGTGGTGAGATGAATACTACTGAACTGGATTGTGGTGAGATGCTGCATGCAAAACCAGGCAGCAACACAATACCAGTGTTGTCTCCTGTTGCTGTATGTTATGTATTTTCCTAAAACCTTATCATCTGTGCGGCCTTGTAGTCACAGATGAAATGGTTCTCTTTAAGGCTTTTAAGCTTTTGTATTTTCTATTTTTGTTGAAGCCTGATTGGAGAGAAATCAAGTTGTTCGTGGGTTCCATCAGGAATACTTTATATCCAACTGTGTTCGTGACTTCGTGTTAAAGATTTTGAATGTAAATGAAAATTGCATTGTGATATACTGATAGCCGGTTGATGCAAGTATTCTGTAAAGCATGGAGACCTGGAGAGAGGAAGCTGTGCTTGGCCATCAAAGCCGAAAAGGGTAGGGAAAAAAAAGAAAGGAAAATGCCACCCAACTTTGGTAAGGGTCATTCTACCGTAGCACCAAAAAAAAAAAAAAGTTCAACCAACGTCTATCAATAAGGGTATTGATTGTTGTGCCTAACTTATAAGCCCTAACCAAAATTTAAAATTTAAATTTTAATTTTAAGTTGATTTTAAAGGTCTTTATTGTGGTCTGTTTTCCAATATTTTATTTAAAATTGTTAAGAACATATAAAAGGTTTATCGTAATTTTTTTTCTACTGATAAGCCGTATCAGCGTAAGCAAAACGATGAGGTGTTTTTTGTTTGTTGCCTTATTCTGTCACGCATAGTTTGTTAGATAGTCATTTGCTTCACTGCTACACAAATTTATCTCACCTTTTTGTACATTGGATTCACAAAGAACTCATTTTATTTAACTAACCGTATCACAAGGGCCAAAATTTAATTGTCACACTTTTCTACTCCCTCCGTTTCTAAATGTTTGACACTGTTGATTTTTTACCACATGTTTGATCATTCGTCTTATTCAAAAAATTTTGTGAAATATGTAAAACTATATGTATACATGAAAGTATATTTAACAATGAATCAAATGGTAGGAAAATAATTAATAATTATTTTTTTAATAAGACGAATGGTCAAACATATTTTAAAAAGATAACGGTGTCAAATATTAAGAAACGGAGGGAGATACACCTTGCCAAAAGATCCTCGTGGCCAAATAAAACAGCTACTTTGTCCCAAAATATAATAACTTTTAGCACTTAGGATTTGTGTTAAAATATAACAACTTCTCCTCTAACATTTCCTTCCCAACCAATCACAACCCTTCACCATTCACTTTTCCTACCTACCTACACTTCTTAACCAATCACAACTCATTTCTATTTAATTCTACCTATGTTGTGAATGGTGAAACTCTAAAATTGTCCAACTCTAAAATTCTATTTTTTGGGACGGAGGGAGTACTAAATACTTGTAACTGACCATTCCAATACATTTCTATTTAATTCTACTTACGTTCTTGATAGCCGTGTCCAACTCTAAAATTCTATTTTTTGGGACGGAGGGAGTACTAAATACTCCTACTGATCATTCCAATAATATGATATGCTTTTTTTTGACACGATGTCAATGGAATAGTGGTAATAGCCCAGTAGTCTTGTAATTTAGGGTTTACACATGGATGTAGGATCTATAGATACATTATTGCTGTGAATTTATGAATTAATTAAATATTTTGTTAAATAAATTTAATAAATAGCCTAGAACAAGTAATTTAAGCAATTAGGTACTACCCCCGTTCCAAAACAAATTCATTTTTCACCGATCCCACACATAACAATACAAAACCAAATCTAGAATATCCACACTATCAAATTTCAATACAATCATTTTTTATTTTATCTACTCTCAATACATTTATTTCTTACTTTCACAAACTCTGATATAATGATTACTCTAAAATGGACTTATTTCGGAACAAAAGGGCGGGGTCAAAAATAAAAACTTAGTACGAAACGGAGTGAGTAGAGGATTTTTTTTTTTCTTTTGAGATAACGTATTTTATAAACGTCCAGCAAGTAATCTGTAACAATAATCCCATGAAACAGGATACTCTCGCATGTGTAAAATATGATAACTCGAAGGGTTCATATGTAAAATAACACATATCAATGTCGTTTCCCCAGTCCCCATCGCCGATGATACCTCTCAAATCTTCATCCCCTCGGCCAGCAGGAGTGGCCAACACGCAGGAGCGCCTCGTCGGCGGCGGCGGCGGCGGAGTATGGCGGCGCGGCCGATCGCCAAGGCGGCCCACGAGCTTCCGTCGCTGTACCGTTTGGCCCTGAAAACCCCAGAGATCTTGGTGGGGGCGGGGAAATCCGGGCAGGCGGACAACGAGGCCCTCGACCTGTTCGACGGAATGCCCCCGAAGAACCAGGTCGCCTGGAATAAGGCGCTGGGCATGCTCGTCGGCGCAGGGCGCATAGAGCGGGCGCTCTCGTTTTTCCACGAGATGCCCGGGAAGAACGCCGCCTCGTACGCCACCATGATCGGGGGCCTCTCCCGCGCCGGGGCGGCCTCCGTGGCGCGCCGCCTCTTCGACGACCTGCCGCTGGGAAAGCACAACGTGTTCACCTGGACGGCCATGGTGTCCTGCCATGTCCGGAACGGGGAGCCCCGCGAGGCGGTCCAGCTGTTCGCGGCGCTCTACGGCGAGCTCTACGAACGCGGGGTGCTGCCCAACGCGCACACGCTCAGCTCGTTGCTCAAGGCCTGCGTGGCTCTCCAGTCGCTCGCCATGGCAACGCAGCTCCATGCCCTGGCACTCAAGCTCCTGGAGGAGGAGAATACAGATAACACCTTTGTGTGGAACGGTTTGATCGACGTGCACGCCAAGGTCGGCGCGTTGTGTGACGCCGAGAAGGTGTTCGACGGGATTCGCTTCAAGGATGCAAGTTCTTGGACCATCATGATGGATGGATACTCGCGGCACAAGCTCATCGACAAGGCTCTATATCTCTTCAGATCGATGAAGAACAAGGACGCCTTCACATGGAACGTCATCATATCCTGTTTGTGGCAGAACCGCCGAGGAGAAGACGCGCTCCGCCTCTTCATCGATCTGCTGAGGTTGGGTGATCGCGACAATGGCGGCGCTAAGCCGGACGCATCAATCTACACGACGGTCCTGCACATCTGCTCGGTGCTGTCCCTGCTCACCCTGGGGAGGCAAGTCCACGCGCGCGCCGTCAAGAGCGGCCTCTCGCGCAGCCATGTCTTCGTCGGCAACTCCCTGATGAACATGTACAGCTGCTCCGGCTCGACAGCCGATCTGGAGAAGGTGTTCGACGAGATGGCGGCGCGCGACGTCGTGTCGTGGAACACCGCGATACAGGGGCTCGGCCAGAACGGCCGCGGGAGGCGAGCGCTGGCGTTCGCGGAGCGCGCGCTGGCGCTGGGGCTCTACAACGGCAGCACCTTCGTCGCCATCCTGGCGTCGTGCAGCCACGCCGAGCTGGTCGCCGAGGGGATGGCCTACTTCGACGCCATGGAGGTCGAGTACGGGGTGGAGCGCGCGTTCGAGCACTACGTCGGCGCCATCGATCTCCTCGGCCGCGCGGGGCGGCTGCGGGACGCGCACGGCCTGCTCCTCGGCATGCCGTTCGCGCCCAGCGCGCTGGCGTGGACGACGCTCCTGCACTGCTGCCTGGCTCACAAGAACTGCTCTATCGGGAGCGTCGCGGCGAGGGAGCTCAGAGCGCTGCAGCCCGACGGCGGCGGCTGGAACTACGAGAGATTGCTGCGAGGCTGCGGCGGCAGCGGCGGCGGCGGCGGAGGAGGTGGGGAAGCCGGAGGCGGGAAGAGCTCTGAACACTTACCAGGATGCAGCTGGGTCGTCTGAAACTCTGAATTCATCAGAAAGTTCAGCTTTCGCAGGGCATGGTTAACGCGAGCTACAACTTGAGGTTGGATTCGCGATGCTGATCCAATAAGGAAAAGGTGATTTGAAGGAAAAAAATAGTCCCATGCTGATACAACAAGGGAACAAGAGAGATTGATTTGAATGAAAAAGCAACAAGAGAGATGATTTGAAGGAAAAAGTAGTCGGTGAATGTTCCATGGTGAGGTGAATTCAGAACGAGAATGGCATTGAAGCATCAGCCCCTCATCAGATGGGAATGGAATACGTGGTCCTTAGAAGCCTGAAGGATGGATGGGAGACACATGCAGTGGAAGAATCTGTAAGCAATGACATTCCTTCCCTTCCTGTGGCATAGAACGTAGATTTATTTATACCTTCAAAATCAAATGTTAGGCAGACATCCTGTGGCAGATCCTAGATTTATCTATACCTTCAAAATCAAATGCTAGGCAGACAGATGAAGAGTAATTTTTAGGCGTCAAGATGTACACGTGTGGCATGTCTCCAAAATGCAACCTATCGAGTGCATTTTACTGTCAAATAGTGACTAGTTCAAATTCTTATACCCAATGTTGGAATCCAACAAGAACAGAGAGTACAATGACTGCAGCATGTGCTAATTAGTTGTAATGTAATGCTAAAACACCACCACCAACTTGTCATATTAAAGCCATGTCCATAAATTAGCACAGCTCATACGACATGTCTTTCCAACTACAATTCTACTATTTCATGACTTCGCTTGACCAAAGGGAAAAGGCTAATTACAAAAGCAATACAAAACGGGGGGAAATTCAGACTAAATTCTCATTCGCCCTTGTTATTGGAGTTGTTGATTGTCTTAACATAGCACAAACACCAGTCACGTGATATATGTATCTAATTGGATACCACTGGATGACATCAACTCAAATATGAGTAGTTAGGGTTCAGGATCAGAGCAAAATGTTGAAAACCCCCCTCACTAAAGCATCTTGATCTATAAGGCTATACAAGAATCTCATCTATCAACAAAAGCTTTGTAGCAGAACACCAGCGTTGTCTTGACAAGTTTCACTGGCTGAAACCCAATCTGAATCCGTAGAGAAGATCAGCAAGCTCGAAGCATCTGCATTTATCAAGTGCAGTGAGCGGCATTATTAGCTGCAGGCAGTGCTCACCACAATTATGTTGACAAAGAATGTGTTCAGTATACCGCAGAAGCATGATTTCTGTTTTGCATCGTGGTCACAACAGCATCAAGAAAAGCCTTTGCAGCGTCAGCCTCGGCTTCTGCGGCCTCTGCAGCCCTTGCTGCTTCTTCAGCTTCAGCAATGGCTGCTTCTGCCTCGGCAACTGCCCTAGCAGCAAATGATGCTGCCTCTTCCTTACTCATGCTTTTCATCTTATCAAGTTCAGCATCCACTTGCGGCTTACTCAGCTGTCTAACATTATTATTTTCTATGTTCATTTCTCCAGTGGAATACACCTTGATGCTCTTTCCACCTGAAGAGTTCGAACTTGGTGCAATCCTGTACTTTTGATTCACCTACAACCAATAAACCACAGTTAAAATAGTACCCAACTTAATGTGTACTTTTTGTATATAGACAGCATGAGAGAAACCTTGATTAATTTTCCAGTAGCAACCAATGCTTTCAATTTTGTAGAAAGTAATCGTTGAAAATCTTCAGGTGGCCAGTATTGCTCCTGAGCATACACACGAATCTCTTTAGAATCATACGTGAAATCAGTAATGAAGAGTATATCTGTTCTAAAAGAAAAATGGTAGTAATGCCTCATATCCTCATAGCAAGAATCAAATGAACAGAAACTCTCGAAGACAATTGATATGCGGCAAAATAATGAACAATACTGGTAAGGTAATAAATAGAACATGGGATTTTCATAGGGAACACCTCAATGTATGAAGAAATCGTTGTTCTATTAGACCCAGACGGTTCCTTAAGCTTCTTTATAGCTTCTAAAATAAGGTCATCAAGCCTGCAAAAGGATATTAATACAAAATAAAAAACATTTAGAAAGCTCTGATGAGAAGCAGTAGTGAAATACGATGAATAAAACAATGTGAGTCTAAGTTATTTGGAACAGACGTATTACTCAATTTTGTATCAAAGAAAAACTCAGAGAGTCATAAGTATACAAACAATTATGTAATTGCTGCAAGAATATCATGAAGAAAGCAAACAAAACTAATTAATGACTACTTTTTTAGAAAATTGAGAGGTTGGTTTCAAATCTACTTCGGCATCATGCCAGCATATAAAGGACAAATAAACTGCTATGCAGTATTGAATATGAATCTAAGATATGAGCACACGTAAAGTTAAATAATGACCTAAATATAGGTTTCCTAAACATGCTCAACTGCAATATATTGCCGTTATGTGAGTCATGTAGACACAGTAAAATTATATATCTTAGCTTATTTTAATCTACATTAACTTATTATTGCTTTTGCTAGAACTTGGAAACACAACAGTCCAACAATACCAACTGCAATGCGAGGGATAATCCGACTTCCATGTGAACATGGATTCATATTTGCACGGTATTTATGCTGACCATTTAGGTTTCCTTTCTTTCCATGTAAAAATCATTCTTATAACTGCAATACCATCAATTTGGTAACAATAGAAGAAAAATATGAGTTTTTACAGATGCAACACAGAAGGATTTATATCAAGATTTGCCATGTTAGATCACATATGAAACACTAAAGCAGTTTTCTGCAAAGCACGCGAGCTACACTAGTATGATTTGAAACAATGTGAAATTATAATGGCTAACCAATTTAGAACTGCCAGCAAATCACACTTATGAAGATCCTACCATGCAAATAGCAATTAACATTCCATGACACTGGCATGAAATATGGCCAAACCAAACCAAACCTGGACACCAAGAACCACACAAGTAAAGAACAGAGTTGAATTGCAACTGTGGCATATTGCTACACACTAACCTAGCAACTGATTTCTCTTTCTCTGGAGTACTCTCAAGTTGCATGGGCTCAACAACCACTGCCAACGGTTGTGCATCAATGATTGCATTATCATCAATGTCAGGGTTCTTTTCGTCGGCATCCATCGGTTCAGCAAGGGCCTTAGGCCCTCGCTTGCCTCCCTTCAAAGCTACCCTTGCCCTCTCTCTTGACCCATATCCTCCAGCAGTGACACTCAAGTTGCGCCACTTATCCTACAAAAACCAAACCATAACAATCACAATAAGAATTATTTGTACTCAAAGTGACACGTCGAAACAAAGTTTCTGGAACTCAATACAATGGTCTAAAACAATTAGCATCAAATCAACTACAGAATTGTTGCTAACAAGGTAGCTCTAGAAAACTTGAGCAATATCCCTCCAGACACATTTCAAGTTCATATCAACACTCATAGCTATCTGTTTCCCAACGAAGATCATAAAATTCTAATGGAAGAGACTTCCCAAGTAATCACCTCAAACCTAACAGAAAATGCCTTTATCTTCATATAGAGAAAATGCCTTTATGTGCAACGATACTATTTATAAACATCAAGTTAAAAATCACCCTCTCCTCCATTGAATAGTAGAGAGATTACTCCTCTAGTCATGTTAATCTGTCCAAAACAGTAGAAGATATATCAACTAGTCCATCAATTCACCCAATATCATCGGAAACCCCTCTAAATTCTGACCTAAAACTACCAGGGGAAGCAACGCCCACCATCCGATCGCCAAAAGACAAAAACAAAAGTCGTGGTACTAATCATCCTAAGCATCAACCAAACCAGTTCACGCGAAATTTTAGGGCCGATCCGATCGGCGGGCAACGCACCTTGAGGTCAACATTGGATCTCAGCCGCAGGAGCGCGGTGAATTCCGGGTCGCGGAGGATGGTCCTCCACTTCCCCGTCCCGTGCTTCGCCACGCCGGCCTTGAGCGCGGCCTCCTCCTCCGCCGTCCACCTCTGCTTCGGCGCCCCCATCTCCCGCCCGCTCACGCGCTCTCCCCCGCCGCCACGCCCCCCTCCTCACGCGACAAGAAGAAATTACAACCAAACAAGGTGGGATGGTCGGCGCGGCGCCGCCTTCGATCGAGGCGGCCCTGATCGGAGACAAGAGAAGGGGAAATTCGACCCCGCGGCGAGATCGGGCGGGGCGATCCGGGGCGGAGGAGGAGGGTGGCGTCAGGGGGAGATCGGGGCGCGGGGAATTCGAGGAGGATTGCCTCGGAGATCGGGAGGAGGAGGAGGGGTTCTAGGCGAGTGAGGCATGAGATGAGGCGGAGGAGGAGGAGGAAGAGGAGGCCATGGGAGGCGGAGGTTATAAACGGAAGGGGAGGGGATTAATTTCGCAGACGCGTACGTGTACGGGTTGAGATTTGTTTCCTCGGAGCGGGCCCACCTTACAGGCTCTTTTTGGGCTTTTTATGGGCCCACAGTTCTGGGCCTCCCAGGGCTTGTATAGGTTTCTGTTCGGCAGCAATAACAAATTAACAAGCTGCAGCTGTTGTGGCTGCTGCACCACGAATTCACTGCAAGCTGCAGCAGTTCACAAATTCTTCTCCTTCTATCTTCTTTTTTTTTTTCAAATTCCTTTTGTGATCTTTCGGACGACGTAAAAAAACGAGGGGCTGACTTGGGATGAATAGCCTTTCACGTAATACTCTCCATCTAAACAAAACAAACAGTATAGGAGTACAATACACCATTTTTCACATGAGCATTCGACTCCATATATACTTCCCACACAGTCACTCGCTCGATCAAGCAGGGTCGTCGGCCCTGACGGTGCCGGCAAGCAGGAACGCCTTGAAGGTGACCTTGCGGACCAGCGACGCGCCACCCCACTCTTCCTCCAGCCGCCTCACCACGCGCTCGTCCAGCAGGTCCACGCCCCGCTGCCTCGCCGTCGCCACCGCCGACCACGACCTCAGCATTCGGACGAGGCCCGGGAACGCCATCTCGTGCTCCATGTCGAAGCCCGCCGGCTCGCCCTCCTTCCCGAGGCCGACGCCGTCGAACGGGAACGGCAGGTCCCGGTACCCGTCGATCACGTACCTGCAAGAGCAGCATGTCAAGCTTTCTTTTCGCCATGGATGGTGCTTGCTTGCAATTGCAAGATTGTAAAATTGCAATGTGTGCTGTGCCCAAGTGGTAATGTACCGAGCTCTGGAGTCCCAGTAGGGCAGGGTGGTGTGGAGGAAGCGGGACATCATGTCCTCCACGGGGCTGACGCGGTAGTTGTACCCCCAGACCGCGATCACGCCGCCGGGCTTCCGCAGGAGCCGCCGCGCGGCGCCGTAGAACGCCGGGAGGTCGAACCAGTGCGCCGCCTCGGCCACCGTGATGAGGTCGACGCAGCCCTCGCCGCCGAGCGCCGCGACGAGGTCGTCGTCGTCGGCACCGGCGTCGGGGGTGTGGAGGTACCGGACCTTCGGGTGCGGCACGGCGCGCCGCAGCTGCTCCGCGCTCACGTCCGTCGCCACCACGCTGTCGTAGTGCTCCGCGACCTTGCAAACAGCAACCCGGATGGGATGCCGGTAAATGTCAACGTTAGGTAGGCACAGGCTTTGTGAAGGCATCCTAGAGAAAGCTGGAGAATTGGAGTGCTTACGCCGATGGCGGCCTGGCCATTGCCGGTGCCGACGTCCCAGGCGACGCGGTGGTGGGCGGTGAGCGACGCGAGCTTGACGAACAGGTCCTTGGGGTAGACCGGCCGCGCCGCGGCGTACTCGGCAGCCTGCCTGGTGAACAGCCCAGCCATCCGGTCTTGGATCTTCGATCTGGGACCGAGCATCTCTGCTTGGTACTCCTATTGTGATATCTGCAAAGGACCAAACACAGGTGAGGAAAAAAAAGCATAAACAAGATGACAACATCACCAATTCACTGTGTTGTCCACTTGATCGAAAAACAATTGTCTAAAGACGAATGGATCATGGATGATGACATGGCTGATGAAATCACTCTGGTTGTCACTGTCTCTTGCCTCTGAAGTCCTGTGATCCTGTATGAAGTCTTTGCCTCTGGAGTGTCCTGTAATGGTTAGCATTTACAAGGTGGATGGTGTTAGGTCTATGAATTAGTAGTCAAACACCTATCCAAACCTAGATGAGATAAATGGTGTTAGGTCTATGAATTAGTAGTCAAACACCTATCCAAACCTAAATGAGATAAGAAAATATAGAGATTTATATTCAACCGCACCTGTAAATGTCAAGGCAGAGACTTCAGGTAAGTTTGCACTATGGATGGCATCTCACCAGATGACAGAATAGGTTTGCATACAATAATCATGAAGCCCTTGAAGACAATTTCATCCTATGACCATTGCCAACCACCAAGATGATCAGTTGATGCCCTCCACCATGCTGCTGGCATAGTGACATCGATGTTGCAGCAGCCACCCACCCAAAAGCTGGATACTAACACAGGTTTCATCAGAAACAGTAAGACATTAACTCTATATGATCGGCGGTAACTGGCTGTTAAAAGATATAATCACGCTGAAAAAAGCGACTTGCAATTATCAATTTCACCTGTAAAAGAAAATACTGATGGGACACAAAGCTCATGGCAACACCCACTATATGCTCAGCAGTCACCAATGCATGAGTAAAGTCCACACTCCACAGGATAAACAGGGAAACTCTCAAAAATGACATACAGACTAACAGGCGTGGAGGGTCTTAGTTACAGCAAACGAGATGGAAAAAAAAAAAGGAATTCAGATCACACACATCTGAGAGCATAAAATAATAATAAGAAAAGCTGGCTGGTTAGCCACCAAAATTGATTTATTTGATCTGTGTCCATTTCATGTAGATGAACTGTGCAACAGTGTAACACAGCTCCAATTGAGGGTTTATAGCAATTTCAACAACAAAATGGTACATCTTAAATGCTGCATCTACACATGCAGCAGACAAAAACACCCAACCCAACTAGCAGAACGCCAGAACTAATCAGACACCGCTTTAGTATCTCCCAATTCATTTCTGCTTTCCAACGCTGAGACCCGCTGATTTAGGGATTCATAGTGCTTTTCAGAAGTTTCCTTGATGTCCTCCACCTGCAAGTATATCAAAGCTTAGCTATTGTTCAAATGCTTTCTGTTTGTTCAGATAAAAAAGAGTAGATTATACTTTGCACTCGGTAGAGTTATCTTGTTTCACTTTGCACTATGTTCAATGTATAATTTCACTATACAGCATACACCAAAAGTATATTGAAGTAAGTTTCACTTTACACTAGATTGTAGCATATAATTGAAGGAAAATATTGTAAAATATGAGTGAAACTTATAAATTTTAAACCATGTTTCATGAAGTTTCATTCAGATTTTATGAAATTTCATGATTTTTTTTACAGGTTTGATGATGTATCTTTTTAAGTGAAACTTATTTCAATACACCCGGGTGTAAAGTGAAAGTATGTGCTAAACTTGGTGCAAAGTGAAACATGATGTGTTCTATCTAGCGCAGAATGCAATTTACTCTAAAAATGTGTTCTGCTAAAGTACCCATATATCGTTCAAAGTCCAATTCCTCACAAGCAGCAACACAGTTATAAAGGAACAGATAGTGAATTCATCGTATGAATGCGACATTATGAACAATGGAACTAGAAACATCAACAGAAGCAGGACCATCCCCCCAGAATAAAGTCCACAAACCATGACCAATTTGTTAGGCTGCCAGCTGCGTATGATACAGGGTTAGGAGATGGATTAGATCTTTAATATGGCAGGTGCCAATGGCTTAAGAAGGGACAGTTTAATCCAAAAAGCTTCCTAAACCGCTTAACATAGGAATAAAGTTATCCACCACTTGTTCTACTGCTAATCCAATTAACCGACCAATTTAGCCAAACAACAGTGTGTTAATTAGGTTAGTTGCCAAACACAAAAATCTAGGTTAAACGAACCCAGCTGAGTTAAGGTTAGCTAACATAGTTATTTTAACACCTAATGAACCACAACCAAGAGCAAACACAGAAGTCAAGGTTCAGTTGCCATTGCCAAACTAAAGTAGAGCCTTGTCATGAGTTCCCTCTGTGGAGCTAACCCTTGTTACAATTCATAGCACCCCACACGATAAGTTTTTTCAATTAACAGATGCAATGCACCAACTCATATAATGGTTTGAGCAACATATATGGTGTTACAATCAGAAATCAGATTATGCAAACATTAGCATAGTAAAATGTTATGTTCCACATAATAGTGCACTGAATTGCTTGCACCAACTGTACCCCATACGGAATCATTGTTGTTGATGAAATTTAGAAAACATAATGCCTGGCTAAGTAGTGAAACAATATCACAATAACAACAACATTATAAAAGAACAAGTGTACACTATATAGCTTAGCTACATTGCAATATAAAGAACATAGACCATAACCTAACATAAATTGTACAGTAAATGTGAAATCTTCAGAGCAAAATGCGGATATCTCACTTGTTCCAAAAGAAGGGAACGAAAATCTATTGGATATTACTCTTCCAAGGCGCCAACTACGGATACTAACATGAAACTATGATAATCCATCCATTACATTCCATAGCAACTTTTTTATGATCTCCCTCAAATTAACTTCCTCAGAAGCCTACACAATTTCCTCTAGCTCGTGGATATAGTCATACAAAATTACAGACAAATCATGGCACAAACCCTCACCATTTTACCATGCTCGCAATTCGTTCATCCCGATTATTGAGTACCAGTAAAAGTGTCGCATTTTGGTCAAGGGCTACGGGAGAAGAAGCACAAGAAAACCTAATTGTTACTACCATTTACCAAACCTACCACAACTGGCACTACCAGATCGCCGTTCGTGGCCATGCCATCGGCAAACCTAACCGGAGTCGTGGAATCGAAATGGGGATCGATTAACTCGCTAGCGGCTAGAGGAGGTGCGACATCGGATCGGCCCCTCACCTGGCGGGCGATGGCGGCGCGCGCGAGGAGGTGGTCCTTGTAGATGAAGAAGAACCCCGCCGCCGACGCCGTCGCCGTGCCGACCAGGAACGACGACAGCCGCACCCTCCACAGGTACCCCATCCCCCTCCCCTCCCCTCCCCCCTCTTCTCTCTCTCCTCGCCGCCTTTGCTCGCCGGAGACGGAGACGGAGACGACGCGCAGACGCCCACGGATTGAGGAGATTCGCCTCCGCCTCCTCCTTCCTTTTGATGGGTCTGGGCTTCAAGCCGATCCTGATGGGCCGCAGAAAATCCGGCCCAGCTTTGTGCTGACACTGACATGCGGGGCCCGGACCCACATGTCAGCGAGTGATGGGGACGTGTTTGGGAATTTTTTGGATGAAAATGATATTATTATTAATTATTAATAATAATCGGATAAAGTAACCTCCTCGACGCTGCGACGGCCGCTCACCACTGGCGAAGATGCCGCCGTCGATGGCGGTGGCGGCGGCGGCGGCGGCGCCACGCAGTCTCCTCTTCCCCGTCTCGCCTTCACCCTCGCAGCCGCGGCGTGTGCCAGCCTTGGCAAGGGCTGGACGGAGCCAGAGGCGGCATGCGGCGCTGGCGAGGCCCGCTCGCCGCCACCTCGACGACGCGATGTCCGCCGGGTTCGTCCGCAGCCTCAACGCCCCGCCTGACGAGGACGGCGCGAGATCCGGCGGGAGGTACGACCCCAGGCCGGGGGACTTCGCCGTCGGGGTGGTGGTCTCCGGCACCGAGGCCCGCCTCGACGTCGCCGTGGGCGCCGACCGCCTCGCCACGCTCCTCGCCAAGGAGCTCCTCCCGCTCTACCGCGCCGACCTCCCGGCCTTCGCTGAGGCGGCTCCGCCTCGGCCGGGGAGCGTGGGTGCCGTGGCGAGCCCCGCCGCGGGCGAGGGGGACCGGAAGCCGGGGGAGCGCGGCGGGGGCAGGACGCTGGTGCCGCCCGGCACGGTGGTGTTCGCGGAGGTGCTCGGCCGCACGCTGAGCGGCCGGCCGCTGCTGTCGGCGAGGCGACTCTTCCGCCGCCTCGCATGGCACCGCGCCAGGCAGGTTGAGTCATCGTCACTGTACCCCTTCTTCCATTCGACATTGCTGTTGCTGAGTTCAAATCTCCGCAGCATACATGTACACGGCTCTGGGAAATTATTGGGGATTGCAAACCGATGCGGTAATTTGTATGTTTTGTCAGGCAGGTTATGCAGCTTGACGAGCCAATTGAGGTCAAAATTTACGAGTGGAACACCGGGGGCCTCCTCACAAGAATTGAGGCAAGGACGGGATGCCTTTGTTGCTGACTTGCTCTCTCTAATCTTCAAGAGACGTGGTGTTTTCGTTTGAGCAAACTAACTTTTATATCGACTTCATTTTTCAGGGGCTGAGAGCATTCCTTCCTAAGTTTGAGCTCATGGACAGGATAAATACGTTCACAGACTTGAAAAACAAAGTAAATGAACTTACGACGGTTTACTGCTCGTCAATGTGCAAAATGTTATTACCTTCTAATGCTTTGTTACTATGCATTACTCATACATGAAATGCTGCATGCCTGCATGGTGTATTAAGTTAAACTCACACATCTTAGTTTGTCTGGGTTGAAGTAACCGATTGCTTGTTCTCGCAGGTTGGTTGCAGCATACGTGTGTGCATTACAAGGCTTGATGAAGAAACTAATGACCTGATAATTAGTGAAAAGAAAGCATGGGTCAGTGCCCTGGCATATTATCTATATGTTCTGTTTGTAACTGTACAGATATAAATCTGTATTTTTTTTGTTATAAGTACTAGGGTACTACATATTAGAAATTAGGTACGATCTAATATGGTGGCACAAATTAAATCTTGAGTATAGAAAGTACCTGGTGTGCTTCACTACTCCATTGCCCTTGACCAATTGAAACTCTGCCTGGTGCCATTGTTCTGTCACCAATTATCATGTCCAATCAATTTCGTAAGATTTCATTTTCAATGCTGAAATCAGTTCCACGTGCTCTGAACTTTCATGCCCCCTGAAACATTGATTAGTTTTCCTGTTATATGTATTGCATAAATGAATACAGCAAGGTTGTTTCCTTCTTATTGCAAATGCTACTAGCATAGTCAGAGATATAGCAACAAGATACTTGGATATATACCAATATATTCAACTCTTGATCATCAGGAAATGACATATCTTAAAGAAGGAACTCTTCTTCAAGGGATCGTTCACAAGATTTTTCCGTATGGTGCTCAGGTTAGAATAGCTGGGACAAACAGAAGGTATGCATGGGGCCTTCACAATGCAGTTTGTGTAGCCCTTTTTATATTTGATGCATCATTTATTCGATGGACTATAATAAGAAAAATCATCTTCTTTTATTTTGCTAAAATGGTACGGAAAGAAAATAATATTGTATTCAATTACTCATATGCAGTGGATTGTTGCATATTTCAAATATTAGTCGAGGGCGTGTCTTGTCAGTAAGTGACATCCTAAAGATAGATGAGGAGGTAAAAGTTCTGGTGGTCAAGTCAAATGTTCCAGATAAAATCGCGCTTAGGTAATCACTGACTCACTTTGTATTGGATCTATTCTGTTGTCAGTTAACATAAAAATTGTTCTGATTGTCCCAGTTTACTGAATACTCTGTTACATTGAGGTTTGTTTTTCATCAGTTATGGTAGAATACTGAATTGAAGTTTGATTTTGCTACAACAGCATATCTGACCTCGAAAGTACACCTGGTCTATTCCTTTCAGAAAAAGCGGTAAGATATTGATTTGAAGTTTGATCTTGTTCTATACTCAATATCTTCTATAACAAATTTTACCTCGTATTTGCATTTCTCAGTACCTTTTTGTCTTGTGCTGTTTTCAGAGAGTGTTCTCAGAAGCTGAGGAAATGGCAGAGAGGTACCGGGAGCAGCTTCCAGCTGACTCTAAGAACGCTAAATTAGATGCTGACCTTCCAGGAGGAACAATTCCATTTGATGATGAAGCTACATTATACGCAAACTGGAAATGGTTTAAATTTTTGGAAGATGGCAAACTAGGTGCTGTAACAACAGAACACAATGGCAGCTGATGCAGCTTTCAGGGATTACATGTTGTGAGAACAATCTGGTTGCTGGCTTGCTGCTGAAGAAAAATAGCATATATAAGCAGCTTAGCATGAAGCATATGAAGTTGAACCTTCATTGGATGACCTGGAGAAATAATGGTTCTTGGTGAGAGCACAGCACTTTCCAAAGCAAAGAACCAGCATTAACGGTTCTACGAGTAGCAACATGCAGCTCCATCTGGCAACTGCATCAACAAAAGAAGCAGCAACAAAATTTCTTTGTCGGCGTATGCCGTACTCCTATCAGCAAAGAGGAACTTCTTTGTGAGCCTGTCGTTCCTTGGAAAATTTTGATGCGCTGTGGACCGAAAATGACACATTTTGTGAATGTTTAATCCATTAGTCCAAGTAGCTCCGTGGAGAAAACATCACATTTGATAGCATCCACTATTTGTACAACTTGAGTTCACTTGTATTTACTATTTCAATGGAAACAAGCAACTCAACTACCTGAACGTGCAGCAGTAGTCTCTGAATCTTTGTTCAGATTTGTTATTCAGTTCCAGAAGATCAGTTTTGCTGATTTTAGGCCTTTTAACTGTGTGACCCTTTTCTCTTCAATCTTTGCTCATTTTTACTCCGGTAACAGTTGGAGCTGAGTGAGTATTTTTACTTTTAGTACTAGTATATTTTTGGAGTGTTTTATTTTGTTAATACTGCGTATTTGCCTTTAGGTTCCTTTATATATGAGCACTAGGAATTTATGATACTAGTACTATACTAGGAGTATCTCTAAAACAATAACATTCTGAGATAACTATAGATAGATACTCGTTCAGGTTTGTCTTTAGAAGTTGGATTTTTGAAAGACAAGGAAGTACATGCAATCCTTTACGGTTTTGTTTTGCACAGAGATTGATTTATAGAAACAGGTAGGAGTAACATGTTTGTATTTTTTTTTCCCTCTGCAAAACAGCTACTACTACAATGGTGTAGAAGTATTCGGAACTAGTATACGGGAAATACTACTACTACAGCTCAACGTAGGAGTACTTGCATCTGCTAGAGCCAATTGCTCTGTCAGGACTCAGGAACCCAGGCTGTCAGTGACCGGAGTAAAAGTCTGGCCGTCGTTTAAAACCCTAGATTGATCGCTCTCTAGTTCCATCAGTCAGATGCAGCAGGACGAAGACAGAGCACTGTGAGATTGGGGAATGTTCCCATGGATTGCTTGCTGCCGTGATCCGACTCGCTCCCAGGATTTTCTGCACCATCTTGCCAAAACGAAGAAATGGGTAAAACTTTTATACTACTGTACTCATATTTCTTTTGTTATTAACGGTTTACTAGTAAAAGATAAGACTACAAAATAAACGACCACGGAAAAGGTACTAAGACCAACCACAGTCTATAATCATACATAATTAATTTTTAAATTTTAAATTACAGTTGCCGCTTATAAAGACATACTCTCTCCATAAAAAAACAATCTAACGTTGAATGAGATATTGGGTTTATTTAGTTTGATACCAATTTATTATTCTATCAAAATTTTAGTAACTTCAATAGTAGCAAGTACATGTTTGATTTGCTACCAAATTTTACCCTCCATAGTTCAAATTGAATACTACCCAAAATTTAGTAGTGTTAAAATTTACCAACGTTTTAGTACCACCAAGATTTTGGTAGGACAAAAATTGGCTCTAAACCAAACATGCCCATTTTCTAGTACACGTCTACTATAAAACATCTCATCCAATTCTAGATTAGTTTTATTTGTGGGATAGAAAGAATAAAGGATAACCTGAAAATCTATGGAGAAAATGAACGAAGTAAGCAAAATTTATATAAATAAAATTTTTATATTGATATGCTTAGTAAGTTAACAGGTACGGAGTAGTGAAACTTAAAATAAACTACTAGTATCAGGTATTACCAATGTACAGGGCAAAGTGATCCATATAGATAGGATCTACGTAAATAGTTTTTACCTATAGAAATCTCTACAATTTATATAGATACAAAGTATCATTAGGAGAAGAGAGAGCAGTAAAGATAAATAATACTCCCTCCGTTTCGAAATGTTTGACACCGTTGACTTTTTAGCACATGTTTGACCGTTCGTCTTATTCAAAAACTTTTGTGAAATATGTAAAACTATATGCCTACATAAAAATATATTTAACAATGAATTAAATGATAGAAAAAGAATTAATAATTACTTAATTTTTTTTTAATAAGACGAGCGGTCAAACATGTGCTAAAAAGTCAATGGCGTCAAATATTTCGAAACGGATGGAGTATAATTTATTCCATATGGGTAGTCCATATGCATATGTGTATCTTTTATTATCTTTTCTATATGGACTAGTTGCACAATGGTAATAGGTGGCTGAATAGAATATTCTATTGCTTATGGGCTACTTTTACACTGATCACAATTTTTTTAAAAAATATACTACTATGGTTGTGTTTAGATTTCAACTTTTTTTTATTCAAACTTTCAACTTTTCCATCACATCGAATATTTGAACACATGTATAGAGTATCAAATGTGGACAAAAAGACAAACTAATTGCACAATCCGATTGCAAATCGCGAGACGAATCTTTTGAGCTTAATTATGTCATACCCACATGTGCTAATGACTGATTAATTAGGCTCAAAAGATTCGTCTCGCAGTTTACAGTTGGAATCTATAATTTATTTTATTATTAGTCTATGTTTAATACTTTAAATATTTAAATATTTGTTCGTATACGTTAAAAAAATTGTGGCGAGCAACTAAACACGGCCTATAACTTAAAGTTAAATTTTGAAGGCGACTGACAATGGAGCTGACAAATCTTTGGTACTTAGGATGGGATCTTTGCTTTAAGCCCCAGCCAAATTGGTGGATCATCCTGACGTCGTTCTTCTCGATCCAGGTGCGTTTGGATCTCGCAGATCCACCGGCAGGATGCAGCCACGGCCATGGCCAAGGAATGGAACCCCAGCTGACTCGCAGTAGAACAGCGGCCACCAGGGAGGCAGGTGGAGCTACGACCACGCTAGCTAAGCTAGGAGCCTGACGACGCCACGCCGGAGAAGAAGAAGATCTCGCTTGCATCTGCAACCCCCCAGGTCGGCAGAATTGCAGGCTAGCCTAACCTACTCATGCGATCAAATCATCCTTTTATTATTATTATTATCCAGCGATTTACTACGACTCCATCTACTGCTCTGCATCTGCTCATCTATCCATCGTTCAGTTCATCAGGGTGTCGAGTTCCAACGCAGCAGCCAAGCCATGCATCCATCCATGCTTGCACAGTGGCATGTAGTACAGATGTACTACTCCTCCTGTTGAAGAGACAAGCACAGAGGAGAGCAAAATTTTTCGATGCTTCCCAAAGCAAATCTAATGATTACGCCTTTGGCTTCCTCTTGTCCGATCTAGATCTCGATCTCTTCCACGCGCACATACTAGCAGCACAAGTATAGCTCTGCCTGTAGCTGCAACAGGCAGGATTCAATGCGAAAAGATCGCGCCACAGTTGCATGCATATACTGTACGAGCAAGCTGCAAGCAGTGTACTACTCCAGTAGCGTATTGTTGTACAGAGAGCACGGTCATTTTTCTTCTGTCTTCTGATGGTTGCTTGTCTGCCGGGCGATTGTTCAGACATTTCTTCAGTCGAGCAAACGGATTGATTTTGTTCGTATGTTTTAGTTCACGTTAAAACGAGAAGTTTGATTGAAATTGAAATGATATGAGGAAAAAATTAAAAATTTATGTGTGTAGAAAAATTTTGATGTGATAAAAAAGTTAAAAGTTTAAAGAAAAAGTTGGAACTAAACCAGGCCTCAGTGTCAAGAGGAGTGCTCCACTAATGTCTGTTTCTTTGGCATTTGGAGTACCTTTGCATTGCTCTGCTATACTACTTCCTCCATCTAAAAAATATTAACTTAGTATAGAATGTGCAAATTCATTATTTTAAAATATATCACACTCATGCTAAAATAACTTGATTTTACACCCACCCATGATATAAAACAAATAAACAAATTAATGCAAATCATCCACCACTTTATTTAGTATAATTGTATTTATCCACATTTTTACAAACTTTAATACAATAATTGCTTAAATAATATGGTGCATATTTGTTGATTCTTTTTTAGACAGAGAAAGTATAGTACCACCTTCATGCTAAAATAACTTCGTTTTTCATCCATTCCATGATATAAAACAAATAAACAAATTAATGCAATCGTCCACCACTTTATTTAGTCTCATCGTATCTATCCACATTTTTACAAACTTTAATACAATGATTGCTAAAGTTAAAATTATTTTGGGATAAATAATATGGTGAAAGATAAAATTATTTAATGACGGAGTATGCTTTTAGACATAATAGCACTCTTTAAGGGACATAATGAGTAGAAAATACAGTACTAGTACTATGGCCCTGTTCGTTTGCTAAGCTTTTCAAAACTCAATTAGTATATGATTAATTAAATATTACTAGTATAAATTTTTAAAAAATACTTTTTTATTTTTGAAAGAAACATTTATATAAAAAGTTTTTTACAACACACATCATTTAAAAGTTTTAGCGTGATAAAAAACCAAAAAAAATATAATTTGGCCTGAAGAAAAGAACTAGTCATAAAATACAAAAAGATGTTCAGATTGTAGACAAAATAAACCTTACCAAATATCAAAATTTGATAATTTAGTAATATTGCCAAAATTTTGACATGATTTCTTATGTATTTACCAAAGTTTAGAAAAAAAATAAATGATACACATATTTAACAACTCTATAAAAAATAGTATGACTTAAAATGACATCAAAATCTGAATAGACCCAAACAAAACATTCAGGCATTATAGCCGGTGTGGGCTGTCTCCGATCAACCATACCCCACACCGGACGTTACAACGAATTGGGGTACAGTTTACTGTTCGGCGTGTCCCCAGTACTCCTATGCCACATCGATCGAAAGCGAAGAAGAAAGAAAGAAAGAGAAAGAAAGATTAAAAAAAATAACAGAGAGATGAGACAAGAAAAACAAAACAGAGCGTGATGGAAAAAAGACGAGGAAGCGAGGAGGAAGATACACACAGCAGCAACGCTGTATTGCAGCACTAGCAACAGTGCAGCGACAACACCAACAACGACGAGCAGTACATCAGTCAATTCACCGAAAAGAGAAAGAAAAGAGAGAGAGAGAAAGAAAGGCAGAGGGGACGAGGGGGCAAGCTGATTTCGCGATGTCGGAGCAGAGCATGGAGTACTCGTACTCCCCCTCCTCATTACTACATGTGTTTTAGCAGGTTTTCTGGTAGTTATAATTTTTCTCAGAATTAAAAGTTATCTAAAATAATTTAGCTTTTCATCCCTATTCTAAATGACTAAATCTACATAGGTTGTATTTAGTTCACACTAAAGTTTAGAAGTTTGGTTAAAATGTGTGTATGAAAGTATTGATGTGATCGAAAATTGAAAGTTTCGAAAAAAAACTTTAGAACTAAACAGGGCCATAGGGAGAGATTGGTAAACCGGCTACAACGGCTGCAGCTACGGCTGTGCACAGTGAGTG